CCCTATGGGGCCACGAAGCGTGTGAGGGGTGTGCCGAAATGGGTGGTGGGGAGGCATGCGGACCAGCCATGGGGCCTTCGGTGGAGCTCCCTATGGGGCCACGAAACGTGTGAGGGGTGTGCCGAAATCGGTGGTGATGATGATGATGATGATGATGATGATGATGATGATGATGATGATGACGATGGGAAGAGGGAGGAGGGCGAGGAGGAGGAGAAGAGGAACGCGGGGCACCGTCTCTTCAAAACGAGGACCCACCACCACAGGATGGTTGGGAACAATCGTTTCGCTAAAGATATCGGTAACATATCTCCATGTTGGGGATCCGCGTGGGCGACCAGGACACGTGAAAACAAGCGTCTCCCTAGAGACATCCTCAACACATCTTCATATTAGACATCCGCCTGGGAGACCTAGACACGCGAAACCAAACATTATACCCCTTGGGTGGCCTGGACACGTAAACACACGTGGTTCAGCCCCCTTGTGGCCTGGACACGTGAAAACGCGTGGCTTGATTTCGGAACCACCATGTTAGATACCCTCCTGTGTGGGACGTGGTTCCAGCTCAGGACTGCCATGTTACATACCCCTTGGGCGGCGTGGACACATGAAAACACGTGGTTCCGGCTCGGAACTACCATGTTAGATACCCCCTGGGTGGCCAGGATACGTGAAAACACGTGGTTGCAGCTCGGGACCGCCATCCCAGAGACTCTCCCTGTGCGGCCTGGACACGTGAAAAAAATTCTGGTTCCAGCTAGAGGCAACCATGTTAGATACCCCGCTGGGCGGCCTGGACACGTAAAAATAGCCCGCTGAACCCACCATGACCCCCCTTTCTCGTTTAGTATATGAATTACAATGTTTGTTCCACTTCCCAGAGAGCCCCGACGGGGCCCCTCCCAGAGGCCCCCGCCGCATAGGTTTCCTTTGCTCACCGTGATCATAATCATACTCATCGCAACCATCATGCTCATAATCGTCATGATATTTCCTCGTCAAACTCATCATTCTCATGATCATTCGCCATCAACACCATCATCAGCATCATCAACACACTCAACAACATGTTTGGCTCGAGGTCTCTGGTGCGCCCTTCCCTGAGCCTCTTCAGTATCCCCCGTGCCCGACTCAACAACCAGTACTCAACAGCCGCCGTGTCCAACACAACACCGTGTACTCAACAGGGTCCTGCTGCAAGACACCCTCCTTAAGAATTCTATTGAAATCCCGATCCCGCCCGCCGCCCGCCGCCCGCCCGCGCGCTCGCCCGCCGCCCGCCCCCGTTCTCTTTGTGCTCAACTCTTCCCGTGTCCAACGCAACACCCAGTATTCAACAGCATCCGTGTCCAACACAACACCAAGTATTCGACAGCCTCCGCGTCCAACACAACACCCTGTACTCAACAGGCCCCCGCTGCAAGACACCCTCCGTAGGAAATCTGTTGAAACCCCGATCCCGCCCTCCGTCCGCCGCCCGCCCGCGCGCCGGCCCGCCGCCCGCCCCCGCCTTCGTTGTGGCCAATCGTCCCCGTGTCCAACACAACACCCAATACTCAACAGCCTCCATGTCCAACGCAACACCCAATACTCAACAGCATCCGCATTCAACACAAAACCGTGTACTCTACAGGCTCCCGCTGCAAGACACCCTCCTGAAGAGTTCTAATGAAATCCCGATCCAACCTGCCGCCCGCCGCCCGCCGCCCGCCCGCCCGCCGCCCGCCCTCGCTGTCCTTGTGTTCAACCCGCTCCGTGTACAACAGAACACCCAGTACTCAACAACCTCCGTCTCCAACACAACACCAAGTACTCAACAGCCTCCGTGAAAAATTAGCCTGGCGAAGGACCCAACCATATGCAGTTGTGAGTAATGCTGGTGTGAGTACCGTCTTCGGTGGATCCCATGGGGCCACGAACCGTTTGAGGGGTGTGCCGAAATGGGTGTGGGGGCGGCATGCGAACGTTGCCACTGGGGCCTTCGGTGGAGCTCCTTATGGGGCCACGAAACGTGTGAGGGGTGCACCGAAGTTGGTGTGGGGGCGGCATGCGAACGCAGCCACTGGGGCCTTCGGTGGAGCTCCCTGTGGGGCCACGAAACGTGTGAGGGGTGTGCCGAAATTGGTGTGGGGGCGGCATGCGAACGCAGCCATTGGGGCCTTCAGTGGAAATCCCCATGGGGCCACGAAACGTGTGAGGGATGTGCCGAAATGGGTGTTGGGGAGGCATACGAACCAGGCCACTGGGGCCTTCGGTGGAGCTCCCTATGGGGCCACGAAACGTGTGAGGGGTGTGCCGAAATGGGTGGTGGGGAGGCATGCGAACGCAGCCACTGGGGCCTTCGGTGGAGCTCCCTATGGGGCCACGAAACGTGTGAGGGGTGTGCCGAAATGGGTGGTGGGGAGGCATGCGAACCCTGCCACTGGGGCCTTCGGTGGAGCTCCCTATGGGGCCACGAAACGTGTGAGGGGTGTGCCGAAATGGGTGGTGGGGAGGCATGCGGACCCTGCCACTGGGGCCTTCGGTGGAGCTCCCTATGGGGCCACGAAACGTGTGAGGGGTGTGCCGAAATGCATGCGAACCCTGCCACTGGGGCCTTCGGTGGGGCCAGGTCCCTGTGTGGGGCCTTCGGTGGAGCTCCCTATGGGGCCACGAAACGTGTGAGGGGTGTGCCGAAATGGGTGGTGGGGAGGCATGCGACTGCCCTGGGGCCTTCGGTGGAGCTCCCTATGGGGCCACGAAGCGTGTGACCATGATGTGCCGACTGCCTGGCGGTTGCTGGGGCCTTCGGTGGAGCTCCCTATGGGGCCACGAAGCGTGTGAGGGGTGTGCCGAAATGGGTGGATGCGGACCCTGCCACTGGGGCCTTCGGTGGAGCTCCCTATGGGGCCACGAAACGTGTGAGGGGTGTGCCGAAATGGGTGGTGGGGCATGCGAACGCCACTGGGGCCTTCGGTGGAGCTCCCTATGGGGCCACGAAACGTGTGAGGGGGTGCCGAAATGGGTGGTGGGGAGGCATGCGAACCCTGCCACTGGGGCCTTCGGTGGAGCTCCCTATGGGGCCACGAAACGTGTGAGGGGTGTGCCGAAATGGGTGGTGGGGAGGCATGCGACCCTGCCACTGGGGCCTTCGGTGGAGCTCCCTTGGGGCCATGTGAGGGGTGTGCCGAAATGGGTGTGGGGAATGCGGACGGGGCCTTCGGTGGAGCTCCCTATGGGGCCACGAAACGTGTGAGGGGTGTGCCGAAATGGGTGGTGGGGAGGCATGCGGACCCTGCCACTGGGGCCTTCGGTGGAGCTCCCTATGGGGCCACGAAACGTGTGAGGGGTGTGCCGAAATGGGTGGTGGGGAGGCATGCGGACCCTGCCACTGGGGCCTTCGATGGAGCTCCCTATGGGGCCACGAAGCGTGTGAGCGGTGTGCCGAAATCGGTGGTGATGATGATGATGATGATGATGATGATGATGATGATGATGATTATGATGATGATGGGAGGAGGGAGGGGGGAGGAGGAGGAGAAGAGGAACGCGGGGCACCGTCTCTTCAAAACGAGGGCCCAACACCACAGCATGGTTGGGAAAAACACAACACATTGTACTCAACATGCTCCCGCTGCAAGACACTCCCTCTTTAGGAAGTCTATTAACATCCCGATCCCGCCCGCCGCCGGCCGCCCGCCGCCCGCCAACGCGCCCGCCCGCCGCCCGCCCCCGCTCTCCCCGCGCTCAACTCTCTCCGTGTCAAACACAACACCCAGTACTCTTTTTTGGCAGCGACGCACATTCCCCCGAACAGTGAACTGCAACAGCAGCCAGAGGAGAACTGATGCAACAGAACGAATTCACCTGTAATTACAGCAGAGGGATGAATTCATCAATGTCAACGAACACACCCTTCTTGTCAGGGTGTAGGCCTTTGCGGAGCTTGCGAATATTCTTCAAGCCAGACCCCGTCGGGTGCCCACATTTGCGACCCAGGCCAATCACTTGACCACCACTGCTGTAACACTTGCACGACATGCACAAAAACAGGTGACTCTTGTCACTGCAAGGAAACGCAATGACACGGTGTCCCTTGGACTCCAGGACCCCTTGGCCCAAAGGGCAAGTCCCAGGGCAACTCATCAATCGGTTTGGACACGGCACGGGATCCACGAAGGCAGACTCTACAACGCCAAGTGTTTCCCTGCTTGGTCCAGTCGTGGCATGCTTCAAGCAAGGGAGCGTCCGAGGACTGGGGCCTAGGAGCGGAGCACGCTCTAGGCCTCGGAACTCAAGCTTGGGCCACAGCGGCAGGAGCTCCGCTCCTGCCAGCAAGACGAGACGCGCAATCTTCAGCCGTCTCTGCAGATCTTCCTCTTCAGAGGGGGACCAGCTGGGGTGAAGCAACGCAGCTTCCTTGGCCGCGACGTCGGCGTAGTGGTTCCCAAGACGCAAGAACTTCTCTCGCGCACTGAGCCCCTCTTCATCGAGGTCACGGTGAGCTGGTGCCGTAACAAAAGAAGAAACATTCGACCCAAAATGCTGGCGCGCTTGAGTGACGAGGCCAGCGCACTGACGCTTCCCAGAGATGGCGTCCGCCTCTCCGAGGTTCATTCAATTCACCGCATTGCTGCAGTCTGAGTAGCAGCCAGAAGGGCCTTCTGAATAAAGCCCCGTCCAGGCCAGGGCCCCCAATTCCGAGCCTTCGGGGTCTGAGGCCAAGGGGCCCAAAGAGGACCTTTGAAAATCCCGAGGCGCTCCCCAGCCTGAGAGGCCATGACCGCGGCCCAACCAGCCTGAGACAGCTCTCCAACAGTGTGGCGGCGGCAAGAGCCGTCCATGAACAGGTGCCCCCAGATCCCATCGGTAGGAGGTATGGAGGAAGGAGCAGCAGCATCTGACGGGTCAGGCAGCATATCCGTATACCAGTCATAGGCGACACCGGTACTCGTAGCAGGAGGAGGAGCGAGATCTCCTGGATGCCTCAGGGCCCCATGTAAGAATAACACGGCGTCCTCAGTGTCAGGGCCAGCTTGGCGGGCTTCCTCTTGAAGCCACAAAGGAAGAACTGCATCGCGTTCCTGCTGCACAGCAGGGCATTCATAGAGACGGTGAAAAAGAGTGTCTCTAGCTTCGCCACAAAGCTGACACCGATCAAGAAATAAATAGCCTGCAGACGCCGCGTCACCTGCAGTCGAGCATGCCTTGGTCGCTAAGGCTCTGACCCAACCCTTAGTCTTAGCCCCAATTTTTTGGACCCCGGGATATTCTTGGCAACGTCCTAACAAAGCCGAGCCCCCACACCGTACTTGTCTCCAGAAATCCGCTCCAGGGAGCGAAAGACAGCTTCCTTGCAGAAAACGTTGATCAGCTTAGGACTGGAGAGAGTGAGGGGGATTTCACGACCAACGTCGTCGACGATGGTGCAAACATTAGGCATGGTCCACCCCAGCCTGTATAAGGTCATCCTCATGGCCGAGATAGGGCCTCGGACCTTGGCCGAAGACCAGTTGTCCGAGGAGAACACCGCGTTCCACCCCTCACGCATTTCGGCCCACGAGAGCGACCAAGGGAAGGCGTTGGTTCTCAAAATTCATATTTCTTTGGCCCAGCGAATGATAGGGGCACAGCTGCCCCTCCAGGTCGGATCCCCTTCGAGCAAGAAAAGCACGTGTAAGGACCTGCCCTGAGCTCTCGGCTTGATGCAGGACAGGCCATCCTGCGCAAGCTAAGCAGCTCAGAATCCGAGACCCCATAGAGGTCCGAGCCGTACACGGCTCCAGCCAGGGGACCCGCGGCAAAAACCCGAAGGGCCTTTCGGCCCAGGGCCTCTCCAAGGCCCTGCAGGCGCCGAGTTTCACGCAAAGCAGCAGCAGCACGGTCCTTCATTTTAGCAGACCTGCTTTTCCCTGCTCGCACAGGCCTACCAGCAGTGAAGTCCGAGCCGAGGTTGGTGGCCCTCGTGCAAGCTGTGCCGACCAAGCTGCCAAGGGACTCCTCCAACTTGTGAGCAACAAAGCTGCTGCTGCTAACCATGCCTATCTTGTCCATGGCCAGCTTGCACTGCAGGGTGCGGGCGACAGCCGCATGCAGAGCACGAGCTCCACGACAAAGAACTCCAATGACCTCCTTGGCTGAGCCCGTGGCATTCAGACTGAGGTCGTCTATGTGCGCATCGAAGTAGCACCGTCCTGGTTCTCGCGGGATATCATCGAAGGCCTCCATGGCAAACACTCTGATCAAACTGGTGGCAAAGGAACACCCCGCCACAATGCCCCTCCCAGGGGAGAAATGGCCTTCATCAATACCCCCGAGATCCATGTATCGGGCCGCGGAGTACGCCCGAATGGCCAGCCGAGCAAGGCACGCGGGGAACCTATGTTGAAGGCATTTTGCCATACGTACTCAAGATCAATGTGTTCGTAGTACTTCCTTAAATCTCAAAAAACCGAGGCCGTGCACTGGCCCAGAAGAGCCCCACTTTCGGCCCTAAGGGCCTGTAGCCAAACCGCGCCTCCAGCTCCTCGGAAGGCTCCAGCTGCCCAGTAGTCCCTCTTGTAGGACAGCTCCCACCTAAGAGCTTCACCTCTTCTACAACGACCCCAAACTCTATACCAGCTAGGGAAAACACCGATCGGACGGAAGCCTCCAGAGGGCTCGTTCAGGAGGGCCAGAAGGACCCAAGCAATCTGGGGGGGGAGAGCCCCAGTGCCTTCCATAACCGCAAACCATAGAGCCATCGCATGGAGCAGGGCAAAGTGTCGGCAATGGAACCTGCCCACACTCACAGCCGAGGCAGGCCTGTACTTCTTAGACACAACACGAATCTCAGAATGCTCAAGGAGTGGCGAGTGCGGCAAGATGCCGTTGCCGTCACCTTTGCAGAACTCAGCAAGTCCACTGCCTTGCTGCCAGATGTCACTAAACTTATCCGCCTCCGCCTTGAGGGGACTCACAGGATCCGCAACAATAATTCCGCACCGAGAAAGGGCGGTGGTCGGAACCCAAGCGATAGGCTCTCTGATAGCTTTCGGAGCGTTTCCCCCCCCTTTTTCGAACCCCTGGCGAAGCCAGTCGTGCCAGTCCTTCCTCGAGGCCTTAGCAGACGCCGCCCTAGCAGTCTGAAGCATCCGCCGTGTCCGAGATTAAACAATCGGGATCGGCATGGACCACGGGATCGCCGCTGTCAGCTCGAATGGTGCGGGCTAAGCTGGCGGCAGACGCGAAATACTTGCTCCACTCGGAGTCTGCGGCAACCGTCACCGAGGCAGGAGGATGCCCAAGTGCCTCAACAACCCGGTGACCTCCAGCCTGCAAAGAGTCTCCAAGATAGCACCTAACAGCTCGCAGATGATTGAGGAGCCACACGATGCTACGCACATGCAGGTCCTTGACTCTGCCCGCAGGCTTCAGAACAGACTTCCAATATTGTTGCGGTCTTTCCCCCCCAAACGGTGGAGACTTCGACGCCAGGAACGTTCGCCAAGTCGCGTTCAGCCGAGTCCGCCCACGCCTTATAGCCAGGACTAGGCAGCCTGCGAGCCCTCCGACAGTCCCCAACGTTAATGGCCTCAAATGCTCCTTGAGCGAGCGTCAGAGCACCATCCCAATCCCCAGGGCACGGAGCAGGACCCACAGGAGCCTCCGCAGGAAGTTCGGGGGGGCGGCGGAAGGCGAGAGCCTTGAGGTCGCCGAGAGAACTGTGAAACTGCAACGTGACAGGGCGATGGGGGGCGAGGGGGGAGTCATCGGTGACCTTCACTCCCCTCGAGCAGAGCCCCAGGGCCTCCGAGAGGACGAAATAATCAAAGCGGTCAGGGGGGCCCGCACTGGGGAAGCGGGTGTGATCACTGGTGCTAATCACCGACGCCCCAAGTTTCTTGCATAAGCCGGGCCTCTCGAGGTCCTCAGGGCCGAAGTTCCAGTCGTCCCCCGCAATGCACTCACAACCAACTCCCTCCAGCTATTCCCCAACGGCGCTAAGGATCTCCAAGTTCGCCCCCGAAAGACCTTGGCTGTGGAAGAGATAGAGGGAGCAGGCGCAGAGAGGAACACAACTAGGAACGTGCACCATGGCCGCGACCGCGCGCCCGTCGACCAAGATGTGCTGATCATCCGCAAGAACTCCGAAACCACTTCGAGCGAGAACAGCAACTCCGTTACTGACTCCTCCACCTTCTCCAGGCACCCCAGGCGCCCACATGCATTTCCAGCCGATGAAGAGCGAAGACTTGGATGCCTGGTCAATCGATAGCTGATCCCGAATCCGATGCTCCTGAGCGAGGACGATGTGCGAGTCAGGGGAGCCCAAGTAGGTCTTAAGCGTGCCCCAGGAATTCGAGTTGACCGTCGCGACTTTCAGCCCTTCGGATAAAGGAATACATGGTAAAAGGGCGCCCCCTGCTGGGGCCGAGGCTGAAGCAACAGGTGGTCCACCTCGAGAAGCAGACCCGCAGTGTCGTGAACCGACCGAGCTTGACGGCGACGCAAAAGGTAACGCTTCGGATTGTAGCAACCGTGCGTCCAGCTCCATCTCGCTGAGGGGCTGGCTGGACGGGATGATGAAGTTGGCCCCTGACGGATGCTGCCGTGACGCGCCAGGCAGCGGGAACCGAGCAACATATTCCATACCGTGGGACCCTGGGGGCATTCGAATGCCACCTGGAAACAGTGGGGCTGGATGTTTTTTGGTCACCGTTGACCGACCAGTAACGACAGTGTGACAGTTCACAGTGCATAGCTTGCAGCCTCCCGTGCCGCTATGCGGGCACGGATGGCTTCCAAGCGTGGTAGCGGTGGCCGCCGCATCACCGCGGCGCGCCAGCTGCAAGACAATATCAGCCTCCTGCCGCGCCACCTGTTCTTCAGGCTCAGCGCAGGAGACTGCAGCGCAGCGCAAAGGGTGAAGCCCTCTGCGCAGTCGAGACAAGACTTGGCCGCCGCTGCGAATGCTGCCTGGCTGGCAGCGGGTGGCCAATCTGCGAAACTGGTGCTGCGAGTACGCTCCGCAGGCCAGACGACAGAACAGCGGGTTGGCCTCGTCTCCGACCTGGATACTCGCGAGCTTGTGTCCGTGATCCGGGGCTGAGACCAGAAGCTCAGCCACTCTCTCAGGGAAACCTTCGCATCCTAGCTCAGGGCGCTCGTGTTGCGCCCTCCAAAGAAGACCAAACACTCAGTGCACCGAAAGCCCCAGAGACCCCGCTGCCATGCGTGCCAAGACGTGGCCTTGTCAAAGACCTTTGTGGGTCTCACGCGCCTGGGCGGCCTCTGGTGAGTCGCGCGAGGAAACAGCGGCAACGCACTCGCCATCAACCGTGCGCACTTGCGCAACTGGTCGATGGTCCAATCTAACTGTTTGGCTTCGGCATCCGACGGGCGCGCGTGCAGCTCGATGGCCTTCTTGGCCTCAGGATCTGCTCGCCAGTTGGCCTGGCCAATCCCACGCTCTGGTTGAGCCAGCGCGTCTATCACTTCGAGCTTGCGACGCGCAGGCGTGTGCACAGCTGGGGCAAACTTATGTTCACACATATGGATCAGGGCACCTCGCCTTAAGCCTCCGTACCTTTGCTTCGGGGACATTTGTTCGAGGGGACCTTTGTTGTGCAGCTTGGCCGCATTCATACAATCGCTGTAACACTCATGGGCCAACCTCGGCACGAAGATGGGCAGAAGCGCCAGCTGCAACTGCTCAGCCGCCTGGCTAGTCTGGGGCAAGGAGGGCCACACCACTCCCCGCGCAACAAACTTCTGGCGGCCTTCGGCATCAAAGAAGACCCAGGAATACGCAGCTCTGGACAGCTCCGAAATACTGTGTGGTATGCATGATCCATCCCCCGCCTGGTAGAGTCCCGTACTGTCAAACTGCGACCACTCCACCTCCTGTCCATCCTCATCGTGCAAGACAGGCGCATGCTCATCACTAGGGCTGGGCCAGCTGTCAATCGGGCGCAGCATCTTAAGACCGTCGCGCAACGAATCGCCGCTGTCAAGGACTTCGCGGCAGAAGTTAACCGATACCTCCGCCTCCTCTCGAGCCGCCACAACATCCTGATGCTGACGCTCGTAGATACGGTGCCTGATCGAGTCAGGTCTCTGGCACAGCGGGCGCAGTCCTAAACAGAGGTATCCCGACCTTCGAGCCCGATCCTCAGTCCACAAACCTGCGCAAAAGGCAGTTTTAACCAAATACTCCCCCTGGGCACTCAAACCGATCCCTTTGGTCCGAGGGTTCACAATCCGACGCGCGGTTTCAACGCAAACCCTGGCCTCTGAGGGCCACCCAAGTTTTTCGGCTAAAACTCTCTCATGGTGTCCTGGACACCTCGTTCCAACAGAAGGCAAATCATGGAGGGAGTGGTGTGCAATAAACTGTGCTCGATGCCCTTATCATCGATCCACTGCAGGGGGTTCACAGCCGACCACCCTATCCTACACGGAGACAGGTGCATCCTACTGGTCGGACCACGCGATTTAGCCCAAATAAGTCCTTCCCTCTTGACCTCCCTCCACATCGCGCACAGGTCCGTGACCGAAAACTGCGCATGGCTAGGACTTGTGACAGCGCTCCACACCGCCTGAGCCGAGGCCATCGCTGGGGCAACCATGCTCCTCCACAGCGGGTCACCAACCAAGGCAACCTTGGCACGCATAGGAACACCTGCATGCCTTGGGGCCTGAAAGGACAACAAAATACGCCTCGCTCGCTTGAGTTCAGCATCGGTCATGCCAACTATGGTGTCCCCAAGCGTGAGTTCCGGCTTGACGCCAGTCGTGTAAATCTTTCCGATTCGGCCACGATCCCATGGTAAAGCACGCTGGTATCGCTTCAAGACGCGATGCCGCTTGACCATATCTTGGAAACGTTTGCGCCTCTTGGAGAGATGTCCCCTCCTACACCGTTTACCCCCAGGGGCCAGATCACAACCCAAAGACACGACATGAGTACCAACAGCCCCCGCCAGGAGTCCGAGCCGCATCCCAAGGCGACGAGCAGTGTCAGGGTCCGAGGCAAACGTCGTCAACTGATCTGGCGCTAGATTCACCCCAAGCTCCTGGGTGAACACACTGTGAAGGTCCGCCGCCGCCGAGACCAGCGACAGCTTCCTTCGCGCCGCAACTGCTGACAGTATCGCCGTCAATGTACGAGGACAAATCCACACACGGGTTACGACTCACGAAGCCATCGAAAGGCTCCATGGCATTTACCCGCACAAAAATACAGTTGAAGCACGATCCAGCAGGCAGCCCACTGGTAGCATACTGCACTGCAAGGCTGTGGTCCGATCCTAACCTTAAGATCCTAGGGCCTCGCCAAAAATTGAAAACCATCTTGATGATGACTGGTTCAAGTCCAACCGCCAGGCTTCGATCCTTGAGTCTCTGGAGGTCGAAGCTTTCATAATACTTGGTGCCATCCCAAGAGAACCAAGCCGTGACTCCACCGCTTTCCACCTGGGCTTCGGCCTTGATGGCCTGACCCCGCGCGCAAGCTTCCGCCGACTTACCAGCACCAAAGGCCCAATACCTCCTGGGGTGAGTGTCGTTGAGAGGGGTGAAGTGGGGGCGCCTTAACTTCCCCCACAAACGCACAGGGGCCGAACAAAGCAAAATCGGACGAAGACCACCCTTGGGTTTCTCGAGCAGGGGGAACAGCATCCAGTACAAAGCCCGAGGGAACAATCCCAACTTCTCAGACGCTTGAAACAGGCAAGCCAGGGTGTCCAACCCTTCATCACAGAGAAAAGCAGACTGCCGCACGTGCACCCCATCAAGGGACTGAGCCGTGTGCGGCGAGAAGCTCTTGGCCGCAGAACGTATAGCCTCAGGGCTGAGGCGATCGAGACAGCGCCTGTCAGGCACCTCAGCAGGAGGAGGGGACGAGGAAGCATGCCAAAAAGTCCCAAGGACCTCAGCCTCCTTGGCCAGCAAAACACGCGGGTCCGACGTAAAAACACCAGGAGAATTCTCGGTCACCGTGGGCTCCCATTTAACCTCAAGACGGGTGAGGCGGTGCATCTTGCGGGCTGACCCCTGCAAAACTTCAACCTGCCATTGATCCCGCCCTTTCTTTTCCTTCCCGTCTAAGCCTTCTCGTGCCTCCGCGAAGTCCTCCTCCCACCCCGCCAGAAACTCGGCAAACTGGTCGACCCAGTCGGCTAGGCCGTGCAGGGAGCGCGGCCACGCGGCCATCTCCTGACGGGCCTTGGCGACGGTGACATCAAGCCTAGTCGAGAGGCCTTCGGCATCGAAAGGTTGAGCAACAATTTCAACGATGTTACAGGCCGCTTGGACCTCTGACTGATCCACTAACGTACTCATCTGAACCACAAGCCTCTGGCTGGCGTTAAGGAGGTCCTTAGCATTCTGCTGCAACCAGACCCACCCAACCCAGACACGGACCTCATCTTCCTCCTTCCTCTCAGGGGGCGCCAGAACCGAGGCCCACTGGGCGACCAAAGGAAGGCCTTTCTTACCCTTCCTACGCACCGGGGTATCTAACTTACTCTCGAGCTCAAGTTCCATGGCATCCGAGAAAGCTTTCCAAGCGACGTCCAGCGCAGTCCACGCAGTACTCACCGCTTGGTCACTGGCGACGAGGTTGGCGCGTTCAGCTTGTTCACGCGCCTTCGTCCAATCGGCACTGCGATTACTTGTTCCCACAGGGAGTTCTGTGGGGAGCCTCTGGTGACGAGTGCACACGAGCTGGTGCAACTTGACAGCCCCAGGCCTGAGATGCAGTTGGACAGGTCGGTGGGGCCTCTTGGCCCATGAGCTGTCTACATTGACCGCCTGCACCAACTTGCTGAAGGCCGTGGGCGCGAGAAAATAATCAATCTTGGTATTTGCCTGCGGTGCCACGCGCGTGGTGGACTCGGGCTGCATAATCAGCAACCCCGCGCGTCGCGGCATACCAGACATCTCCAAACATGCTGAGCCGAAGTTCAAATCAGCCCCCAGCAGTGCAAGTGCGCTCCCTCCATGATCTGACCTGCCATGCGAATGATATGCAAGTTACGTTGGCTGGGACCTTCACCTGTGTAGAGATACGCACTACCGACCAACAGCGGGGGCCACTTGGGAATATCGATCATGGCGAACACTAGCCTTTGCGCTACTGCAATGCCACGAGGTAAAAAGTCTGGCCACCTTAGTCCAACTGTGACTCTGGCGAAGATGGCAACTCCAGCAGACGTCTGCCCCTGAGCACATGCAACGGCAGGTGAGCACAACACGTTCCATCCCATTGCCTTGGCTGAACTCACGCGCTCCCCGAGTCGCTCTTCGTCGAACCCGATCTCCCGTGCACGCAACACGAGGGACTTGGACGAAGCTAACCTCTTCTTGAGTGTGCCCCAGCTGTTCCCATTATAGTTTTCAAACACATGGGCCGTACCGATGCCCTCTAAACGGGGGGCGGCACGTGGCGGACAGCCATCACCATGCTTATTAAGCTTGAAACCCGTGCATCTAAGCAAAAGGTCAAAAGCTACCCCTCGCGAGCACACTCCGCTGGGGTCGTGGACACCATCATCTGACACGGGCGGCAGGCGCAAATCATCTGACTGCTGCTCCAGGCGCAAGTCATCTGACTGCTGCTCACAGAGCCGCCGCAAAAGAAACCAGAGAGCCTGCATCACTCGATAACCGCACTGCACGAGCCAGCGCCGCGCGAAGCAGCAATCGAACAAGCGCAGACCCACATCGTCAATGGCCGAGCTCCTCCAGTGCGTGGCGCCAGCGAACACATCCTTACCGTCAAAGCTGAGACGTTTTGGGACGCTTCGCTCTCGCCCCCATGATCGCCTCCAGGATAGCCCTCTTGTCGCCCTTGTGCTTCTCCCAGAAGTCGTCAGCCGCCTGCTCATCCACGAACATGTCATCAAACTCGTCTGCTGGCACTGGCTGGTCCACGTGCGCCGCGCCAGCCGAGCCCTCAGGTGGCGCCACAGGCGTCGCAGGACGTTGAGCTCCAGGTGTGACGTGGGGGCGGAACAGCTTTGCGAACTCCTTGAACGGTTCGGAGTCCACCATCGCCTTGATCTCCGCATTGCCATCCAGGAGCTCCTGAGGGACGCCGAAAGTGTCATCTGCAGGCGACTCACCAAGTGGCACCGTAGTAACCAACTGCCGTTGGAGCTCAGCGCATTCCTTCTGAATGGTGTCGCGCTTCTGCACCAACTCCGTCTTCTCCTTTTGCAGCTCATCCAGCCTCTTAGTGATGTCGGTGACCTCCGACCCCACCTTGACCAGGCGCGCCTTGCACCTGTTGAGCCTGTCCCCCACATTATTGCGCTGCGTGAGGTCAGGCTTGCGGGCTTCAATCTGCGCCCTGACGCCACGGAGGTTCTCCTCCAGCATCGCCTTGGCCGCAGATGCCGGCTCGCTCTTGCGCGCAGCGATGGCCAGCTCCAACTGCGCGGCCTCCGCGCGCAAAGGATCCCCCGTCTCCTTCTCATCTTTGGCCGCAGCTGCAGGTCTATCGCCCTCGCCGCCCTGTTGGGCAGAGGCCTTGGCACCACCAGCAAAGAACTGCTCCACTCGCTTGGTGAGCTCCTGCGTCTGCTTCTCCAGCCTCTGCTCACGCTTGGAGCCCGCGGCAGGGGGGCGAGCGCCGCCGCCGAGGCCGCGAGCACCGCCACCGCCATCAGGAAACTGCTGCGCCCGCTTGAGCACCGCCTGGGGGGGGCGCTGGCGCCGCAGCGGCAGCGCAGGCGGCAAGCCCAGTTCGACGTGAGCCCGCACTGCTGGCAGCCCCAGAACGGCCTCTTGGGCCCCTGGGCCACCGCTCCATCCATGGATGCCTCGATCCCGAGGCTCGAAAGACTGGGGGCTTGAGATGCCCCAAAACTGCACAAGCCAAAAAGGCACGCGACAGCGACTGCCGCTCTGAAGACAGCTGTCGCAAGCTCAGGCCACCTGAGCCAGAACGGCTTCTTGAGCCAAAATGGCTACGGTAGTAGTGGGGCTGGAAGAATCGTTTCCCCCGCAAAACTCCAGACGCAACCTGAATGCGCCTAAAAAGTCTGATGCCCGCGGCTTGGGCCCTGGAGCCGATGACCGAAGCACGCGACGCTAAAAAGTTATAAACCTCCCAGGTAGACTTCGAGCCTGGGTCTCGTTCGGAATCAACGTTGGGCCCCCCCTGGGCAGGAGCGCCAGGGGGGGCCCTCGTCCAAGGCCCCATCGACCCTGGCACGAAGCTCTGCCTTAGTTTGCTCGACGGCAGGAGCCGGGCGCCGCGCTGCCAGTGCCGACGGGCTCAGACGGGGGCTCAGGAGATGCGCTCGATGCTGCTCCAGCGGCCGCACCTCCAGCAGAAACTTCTCTACCTTCGGCAAGACGACGCTTCTTTGCTGCCAGGCGCAGTTTGTGAGCCTCATGCGCAGACCGAGCCTCCTTGCCATTGTCCGCAACCTGTTGGAACAATTTCTGCGCCAGCTCCTGTACTCCCGACACCAGCGCCGCCCGACGAGATTCGAACTCCTTCCTGTCCGCTTCCTCCAGCTCGACCTCTCCGGCCGCAAACTCCTCGAGGAGGTCGTCGCAGTTGATGGAGGACTCGATGCTGAACTCGCCCGAGACAAGGTCACCCAGCTTGAGCGTGGCAGTCTGCATCTGGGGCTCGACCTTCGCGGCCTGCAGCGTAACCAGCGCTGACTTGTACTCCTCATCCGCCAGCTTGAGGCGGTCGCGAGTCTCACGTAGCGACAGCTCCAGCTCGGCGACATGCTCCTCGGCCTTCGTGAGGCGCTGCAGGTCCTTTTTAGCTCGAGACTCAAGCTGCTGAACTTCTTTGTGCGCCTTCTGCATCTGGGCATGTGCCGACAGCTCGGGCGGCGGCTTGTCCGCAGCCTCCAGGTGCTTCGCCATGAGGTCGTAACGCTGTGCTGCCAACTTGTCCCCCGCCTTGTTGGACAGCTCTGACAGTTGACGTGCTTCGGCAGCGGCGACTGAAGGGACAGGGCCTGCAGGAAGAGGCGGGGATCCACCTCCAGCTGTCCCACCACCGATCACACGAGAAGAGGGCTTGGTCTTCGGGGGCATGTCCGACGAGCCGAACCAGCTCGGGTCAGAATATCCCTTGCCGAAACCGAATTTGCCACCTTTGCCTCGTGCGTCTTTGCCGACACCGCCTTTCCCACTGTGGACCTTGAAACTGGACCAGCTTCCTGGGGGAGCCGGCATAGCCCACGAACTGCCAGTAAGTGGACCAGGATAAGCACCCGCAGCAATGCGCGGAAGGAGGTTGCCACAATGCTTGCACGAAACGGCTTCGGGCGAGTTGCGTCGACACCCACATGTGGGACAAGCAAATCCTGTCGCTGGCGGCTTACTCCCTTTCCCTTTGAGCGTCCAACACCCTCCTTCGCCCTGACTGGTCCCTGACTGCGCCCACGGAGCATTCAAAAACGAGAAGAAGGGTCTGGTACCATCGCAAGAATGTACAGAGAGGAAGATTCCGTACACGAAACGTAATGCTGAGAAGTACCTGGCACACAACCAGGAAAGCGGACGGGGGCCGCAAAATCCCCCATACCACCACGTCAAGGCCTTGAGCGAAACGCTACGGACTTGAGCCAAAATGGCTACGGAGCACCCAGTACTCAACAGCCTCCGTGTCCAACGTAACACCATGTACTCAACAGGCTCCGCGTAAAACGCAACAGCTTGTGCGCAACAGGTTCCCGCTGCACGACGCCCTCCTTAGGAGTTAGATTGAAATCCCCATCCCGCCTGCCGCCAGCCACCCGCCCGCGCGCCCGCCGCCCGCCCCCGCTCTCTTTGTGTTCAATTCTCACCGTATCCAACACAACACATAATACTCAACAGCCTCCGTGTTCAACGCAACACCCTGTACTCAACAGGCCCCCGCTGCAAGACACCCTCCAAAGGAGTTCCATTACAATCCCGATCCCGCCCGCCGCCCGTTGCCCGCCCGCGCGCCCGCCCGCCGCGCGCCCCCGCTTTCCTTGTGGTCAACCCTCTCCGTGCACAACAGAACACCCAGTACTCAACAGCCTCCATGTCCAACTCAACACCCAGTACTCAACAACGTCCGTGTCCAACACAACACCGTGTACTCAACAGGCTCCAGCTGCAAGACCCCCCCCTTAGGAATTCTATTAACATCCCGATCCCGCCCGCCGCCGGCTGCCCGCCAACGCGCCCGCCCCCGCTCTCCCCGCGCTCAACTCTCTCCGTGTCAAACACAGCACCCACCCGCCCGCCGCCCGCCGCCCGCCCACCCGCCCGCCGCCCCTCTCCTTGTGTTCAACTCTTTCCGTGTCCAACAAAACACCCATTATTCAACAGCCTCCGTGTCCAACACAACACCATGTATTCGACAACCTCCGTGTCCAACACCCAGTACTCCAACAGCTTCCGTGTCCAACACAACACCCAGTATTCAACAGCCTCCGCATCCAACACGCCACCGTGTACTCAACAGGCTCCCGCTGCAAGACACCCTCCTTAGGAGTTCTACTGAAATCCCGATCCAGCCAGCCGCCCGCCGCCCCCGCCCGCCCGCCCGCCGCCGGCCCCCCGCTGTCCTTGTGTTCAACCCTCTCCGTGTACAACAAAACACCCAATACTCAACAGCCTCCGTGTCCAACACAACACCCAATACTCAACAACCTCCGTGAAAAACACAACACATTGTACTCAACAGGCTCCCGCTGCAAGACACCCTCTTTAGGAAATCCATTAAACTCCCGATCCCGCCCGCCGCCGGCCGCCGGCCGCCCGCCGCTCGCCCGCGCGCCCGCCCGCTGCCCGCCCCCGCTCCCCCCGCGCTCAACTCTCTCCGTGTCGAACACAACACCCGGTACTCAACAGCCTCCGGGTCCAACACAACACCAAATTCTCCAAAAACTCCGCGCAAAACGCAACACCTTGTGCGCAACAGGCCCCCGTTGCAAGACGCCCTCCCTAGGAGTTATATTGAAATCCTCATCCCGCCTGCCGCCAGCCGCCCGCCCGCGCGCCCGCCGCCCGCCCCCGCTTTCCTTGTGCGCCCTCCGCCCGCCCCCGCCCTCCTTGTGCTCAACTCTCTCCGTATCCAACACAACGCCTAATACTCAACAGCCTCCGCGTCCAACGCAACACCCTGTACTCAACAGGCTCCCGCTGCAAAACACCCTCCATAGGAGTTACATTAAATTCCCGATCCCGCCCGCCGATCGTTGCCCGCCCGCGCGCCCGCCCCCGCTTTCCTTGTGGTCAACCCTCTCCGTGCACAACAGAACACTTCGTTCTCAACAACCTCCGTGTCCAACAGAACACCCAGAACTCAACAGCCTCCGTGTCCAGCATAACACCGCGTACTCAACAGGGTCCCGCTGCAAGACACCCTCCTTACGAGTTCTATTGAAACCCCGATCCCGCCCGCCGCCAGCCGCCCGCCGCCCGCCGCCCGCCCGCCCCTCTCTTTGTGCTCAGCTCTTTCCGTCTCCAACGCAACACCCATTATACAACAGCCTCCGTGTCCAACACAACACCATGTATTCGACAACCTCCGTGTCCAACACCCACTACTCAACAGCCTCCGTGTCCAACACAACACCCAGTACTCACCAGCCCCCGTGCCCAACACAACACCGTGTATTCAACAGGCTCCCGCTGCAAGACACCTTCCTGAGGAGTTCTATTGAAATCCCGATGCCGCCCGCCGCCCGCCGCCCGCCCGCTCGCCGCCCGCCTCCGCGATCCTTGTGTTCAACCCTCTCCGTGTACAACAAAACACCCAACACTGCATTGTACTGAACAGGCTCCCGCTGCAAAACACCCCCCCCTTTAGGACATCTATTAAAATCCAGATCCCGCCCGCCGCAGGCCGCCCGCCGCCAGCCCGCGCGCAAGCCCGCCGCCCGCCCCCGAGCTCCCCGCGCTCAATTCTCTCCGGGTCCAACACAACACCCAACACTCAACAGCCTCCGTGCCCAACACAACACCATGTACTCGACAGGCTCCGTGTCAACACACAACACCTTGTGCGCAACAGGCCCCCGCTGCCCGCCTTAGAGATATTATCAAAATCCACATCCCGCCCGCCGCCAGCCGCCCTCCCGCGCGCCCGCCTCCCGCCCCCGCTTTCTTTGTGCTCAACTCTGTCCGTGTCCAACACGTCACCCTGTACTCAACAGCCTCCGTGTCCAACGCAACACCCTGTACTCAACAGGCTCCCGCTGCAAGACACCTTCCATCGGAGTTCCATTACAATCCCGATCCCGCCCGCCGCCCGTTGCCCGCCCGCGCGCCCGCCCGCCGCCCGCCCCCGCTGTCCTAGTGGTCAACCCTCTCCGTGCACAACGGAACACCCAGTACTCAACAGCCTCTGTGTCCAACACAACACCCAGAACTCAACAGCCTCCGTGCCCAACACAACACCGTGTACTCGACAAGGTCCTGCTGCAAGACGCCCTCCTTAGGAGTTCTATTGAAATCCCAATCCCGCCCGCCGCCCGCCGCCCGCCCGCCCGCCCGCCCTTCTCCTTGTGTTCAACTCCTTCCGTGTCCAACGCAACACCCATTATTCAACAGCATCCGTGTCCAACACAACAACAAGTATTTGACATTTCCGTGTCCAACACCCAATACTCAACAACCTCCGCGTCCAACACAACACCCAGTACTCAACATCCTCCGTGTCCAACACAACGCCGTGTACCCTACAGACTCCCGCTGCAAGACACCCTCTTTAGACATTCTATTAAAATCCCGATCCAGCCCGCCGCCCGCCGCTTGCCGCCCGCCCGCCCGCCGCCCGCCTCCGCTGTCCTTGTGTCCTTGTGTCGCCTCCGACGCAACACCAAATATTCAACAGCTTCCGTGGAGAAAAACCGCATTGTACTGAACAGGTTCCCGCTGCAAGGCACCCCCCTTAGGAATTCTATTACAATCCCGCTCCCGCCCGCCGCGGGCCGCCCGCCGCCCGCCCGCGCGCACGCCCGCCGCCCGCCCCCGCTCTCCTCGCGCTCAACTCTCCCCGTGTCCAACACAACACCCAATACTCAATAGCCTCCGTGCCCAACACAACAACATGTACTCGACAGGCTCCGCGTCAAACACAACATCTTGTGCGCAACAAACTCCCGCTGCAAGACGCCCTCCTTAGGGATAGTAGCAAAATCCACATCCCGCCCGCCGCCAACCGCCCGCCCGCGCGCCCGCCCGCCACCCGCCCCCACTCTCCTTACTCTGTCCTTGTCCAACACGTCACCCTGTACTCGACAACCTCCGTGTCCAACGCAACACCATGTACTCAACAGGCTCCCGCTGCAAGACACCCTCCATACGAGTTCCATTAAAATCCCGACCCCGCCCGCCGCACGTTGCCCGCCCGCCCGCCCGCCCGCCGCCCGCCCCCGGTGTCCTACTGGTCAACCCTCTCCGTGTACAACAAAACACCCAGTATTCAACAACCTCCGTGTCCAACTCAACACCCAGTACTCAACAGCCTCCGTGCCAAACACAACACCGTGTACTCAACAAGGTCCTGCTGCAAGACACCCTACTTAGGAATTCTATTGAAATCCCGATCCCGCCCGCCGCCCGCCCGCCCGCCCGCCGCCCCTCTCCTTGCGTTCAACTCTTTCCGCGTCCTACACAACACCCATTATTCAACAGCCTCCTTGTCCAACACAACACCAAGTATTCGACAACTCCGTGTCCAACACCCAGTACTCAACAGCCTCCGTGTCCAACACAACACCCAATACTCAACAGCCTCCGTGTCCAACACAACGCCGTGTACTCAACAGGCTCCCGCTGCAAGACACCCTCCTTAGGAGTTCTATTACAATCCCGATCCCGCCCGCCGCCCGCCGCCCGCCCGCCCGCCGCCCGCCCCCGCTGTCCTTGTGTTAAACCCCCTCCGCGTGCAACAAAAACCCAGTACTCAACCGCCTCCGTTTCCCAACACCAAGTACTCAACAGCCCACGTCAAAAAAACACAACACATTGT